GTATTTTGCATCATTGAGGGCACCGGGCAAAACATGAAAATTATGCAACCAACGAACCACTTCGTGGTAGATTGTATTTTCATGTTTTCATCTGGCGTCTGGTTACTTTTTGTACTTTGTTGGTTTTCATGTGGCACATTAAATCACCCACTATAAAATTTAGTGTACAAATTTATTCAAGGGCAAGTAACAATCTACTCTATGAAAAGTATGTTGTCGGGTTGACTCAGGAGACCTGGAGATTGAGACCGGTGTCCCTCCATTAGATAAGGCAGAAGCTGTCCATTTCAAACTATGCACATGTTAGAAAAAAAATAGAATGTAACTATTCAGAATATGATTTGTTTTGAGACTTTATCAATTATATTGCTGGATCCAAGATTCAGGACATTTTCAATCAATGCATGTATTATCATTTATAACTTTAAATGAAAGTCTCAATCCTTTAATAATAAAGACATAACTGTAACTCTTTAAATTCAGAAATATTATAAATCTCATCATATCAATATACTAAGATATACATGTATGCACATAACATTAATAATTCCCAGTTTCTATTAAATAAATATGAAATCCTAACATTAACATTGGTACTAATGGATGGAATTCAAAATCTAGTAGAAAGAAAACTATAATATATAAACTCTGTTATAGATACTATTATTAGCCAGCTAACACTGGGTATAAACATCTTTAACCTGTAGACTGATCATGTATAATCATTTATAAATTTAAATGCAAGTCTGTCCTGTCCCCTTCCCCTTTGTGGGCCTATTATTCTTTTCTTTGAATTCCTAATCAGTTACAAATTATTTATCATTTAATGATTAACCTGTCCGTGCTCTGTCTTTGCCCTGTCCTGTTTTTGTTTGGGGTCCGCCTGGGCTCCTTGCCATTGGTTCTTGTTGCTGGGTCATATGGGGGTTGCGTTCATTGAACGCCGCCTTTCCTTGTTGATCTTGTTTATCATATTTTAGACTTAACCCTTTCGCTGCCAGAGGGTTATTGTTTCATTGTTCACTTATTTGCCAGAGGATTTTCTAAAAAATTACTATATTAATAATTAATATAATTATTATTATTTGTTATTAGTATTATAATAATTATATAAGTTTCCAAATCTGTTAGTATAATAATAATTATTGTCGATCGTATAATTTTCTTTATATTCGTTATTATTTTTTATTATTATTATTAATTTATTATTATTACTATCAATATTATAGAAACGGCTAAAGCCGTCCATATGGCAAATACGCCGAAAATACGCCGAAAATAACAGGGACGGCTTAAGCCGTCCCTATGGCAGTGAAAGGGTTAATGTTTGGGGGCGGGAGAAGACAGACTCAAATTGTTAATTTAGTATGTCTGCATTCATTTTAGAATCAGTAAAGGTTTGACCATCACGCTTTAAAGGTGCTACCCCACAGTTTTTCTGCTTTGTTTGATTCGATGAAAGAGTAGAACTTCTTACTCTTTCGTGGTTGTGAATCATCAGAGAAAATGCCCTTGTCTAAGTACAACCAGTATGATTTCCTTATTTCTTTTTGTATTTTACCTCTAAGCTTTTTTAGTTTGCTAAGCAGGTCTAGGGAAGGGGTATATTAGACTGTTTAATTTTTGAAAACAGTCGATTACGTTTCCTTATTTGGCCAATGATGTGTGGATTTAACCAGGGTAGATCGCGACGTACCTTAGAGGGGATATGGATTTAACTGAGGCGGGTCATTCTTAAATAAAAGCCAGGCAGAGTTTCAGTCAGGAAGGATTGTGCAAATGAGTTTAAGTTGCTTTTTAATTTTGACCAGTCAGCTTTCTTATAACATTTGATTCCTCTTACGGGTTGGATGGGGCGACCTCTATTAACCTTTAACTCATGGAAAACAATGTCATGATCAGAGGATCCTAGAGGGGGTAGGATTTTAGTGCTGTGAACTTGACCTGGCATATTTGTTAGGAAGAGATCAAGAGTGTTACTGCCTCTTGTGGAGGAGGTAACCATTTGCTGTAGGTTAAAATTTAGAAGGTTTTCTAAGATTGCAACATAAATGGTATCGTGCCTGCAGCCATCTTTTAGGGATTCATTTGACCAATTTATGCTTGGTTTGTTGAAATCACCAAGGATCCTAATTGAGCTATTCCTTAGGATCTTACTTAGGGTTGACCATAGTTGGTTAAGGGATTCCTCATCGTTCTCACGGGGTTTGTAAAAGAAGGACATATATATCTCTTATACATTTAAGGGTAATCTTTGCCCAGATACCATATTACAGTTCGATTTGAGGTGGGGCTCAGTGTTCCTGGCTTATAATAGATCGTGATATGGCTAACAGGGTCCCCCCTCCTGGGCTATTTAACCTATCATCCCTATACGTATATATTAAAATTCAGGTGGTCTGGAAAAATTTCCGAAGAATTTATTTCCGGTTTTAGCCAAGTTTCTGTAAGGCACAGTATGTCTGGCTTCTTATTTTTAACAGAGCGACAGTTAATATTTAGGAGAGTAAGGCGTTCTAGTGATTTAAGTTTTGTTGGTCTTGAGGGTTTAACCTTTTTATTTTAAGCATTTTGCGTTGAAGTTGCTATGGGTTGGGTTTTGGGTCCACTGAAAAATAATTGTGGCCTTTATAATTGTTCAATAATTGATATGCCTTTATTTTCAGATTTTAAGGCCTTCTCCTATAATATTAAATCGATATACAAATATAGTCGCCGGTTTCTACATATACTGTATTTTTCGAAATCGCTACCATATTCACCAAAAAATAATCAATTTTGTATGAACCACTGTTCGTAACTTATTTCACGAAATATCAGTGTTTTATATTAACACATTTCCGCACATCCTTTCGACACACTTCAGAAATTCGCCAGTTAACATTTGTTTACGCACCGGTCTCTCAAATATCGACAGTATAAGCACAATGACCAGTTAAAGGATTATGTATGGTGGCTGATTTACGCCATGTCGTATTTTCGCTTCTTCGCCTCAAAATACAAAAATGCGAAAACAGGAAAGAACGACAAAGTTGGACTTATGTGTTCATATGTCGGAGTAAATCTTTTCACGTGTAAAATGTCTTTTGAACATTACATTTCTAAGTTTCTATATTTGCAATTAAAAGCTTTAATTGTCTTTTTTGAATAATTTCATTTTTCTTGCGCAATGACACATTTTTTTCTCTAAACTGAGACTTGGTTTTCTATATGCGTTTCACAATAAACATTCACCATACCAGGTTGTACAATAACTTAATTTGGTCCGTAATTCAAGTCTTTACCACAACATCAAACTTCATTCAGAATTCACGTCTCATTATTGTGAGCAAAATTCTGAGTTTCCTTTAGATATGTTAGAAATGAGCAGGAAAAAGGTTTATTACCCCCCGCCGAAAATGCGAGGGGGATATAGAATTAGTCTCCGTCCGTCCATCTGTCCTTCCTGCCGTCAGTACGTCCACATTTTTTTCCGGAGCATATCTAAAAAAATATCAACTTGAAACTTCATAGGTGGAGATATCAACTTGAAACTTCATAGGTGGATAAATCAAATTTAGGAGAAATGCAGTGCACAAGAATGATAACTCTACCCTGCATATTTTTTCAGTTATTGCCCTTTGTGATTTTTCAAACTTAATTTTTGTCCAGAGCATAACTAAAAAAAGCCTTTGAGATATCAACATGAAACTTCATAGGTGATTAGATCTCACTTAACTGATAACTCTACCTTTCCTTATTTTTGAGTTATTGCCCTTTGTTATTTTTCATACTTAATTTTCACCTGAGTGGAGTATAAATTAACTAAAAAAAAAATGAGATGTCAATATGAAACTTCATAGGTGGATAGACTTTGTAAGGAGGAATGTTGTGCGAAAGAATAATAACTCTACCCTTTTTAATTTCTTAGTTACTGCCATTTGTTATTTTTCATACTTTTTGTCCGGAGCATATCTCAAAAAGTGTTAGAGGTAACAACTTGAAACTTCATAGGCGGATAGATCTCATTGAGGAGGAGTGCAGCACATAAGAATAATAACAAACCGTGCATTATTTTTCAGTAATTGCCTTTTATTATTTTTCATACTTAATTTTTGTCCAGAGTATAACTACAAAAGTCTTTGAGATATCAACATGAACCTTCAAAGGTAGATAGATCTTTACAGTAGGTTGCAGTGCGCAAGAGTGATAACTCCACACTTCATATTTTTTTAGTTATTGCCCTTTGTTATTTTTCATACTTATTTTTTCACCTGAGTGGAGCATAATTCAAAATGTCTTTGAGATGTAAACATGAAACTTTATAGGTGAATAGATCTGATTAAGAAAGAATGATAGATCTGATTAAGAAAGAATGATGTGCACAAGAATGATAACTCTACTGTATCCTTTATAATTTTTGAGTTATTGCCTTTTGTTATGTTTTATACGTCCGGAGCTTATCTCAAAAAAGTGTTCGATTTTACAACTTGAAACTTCAGATGGATAGATCTCATTTAGGAGGAAAGCAGCATATAAGAGTGATAACCAATCGAGCCTTATTTTTCAGTTATTGCCCTATGTTATTTTTCATACTTAATTTTTGTCCAGGTCATAACTAATAAAGCCTTTGAGATATCAACATTAAACTTCTTGTATAGATCTCACCCAAGAGGTGTGCAGTACACAAGAATGATAAATAACTGCTTTACTACATATACATGTACATGGCTCTTGTAACAAGTTACATTATAATACTTAAAAACCTTCTCAACAAGTTAACATGTCAATTCAACGCAATGCTATTTGGAGATACCTTATCATTATACTTAACTGTTGTGTTTTTTGTTTTTGTCGGGGGTGTTTTTTCTCTTTCTTTTTTGTTTTTCGCCGTGACAATCACATTGCTGCATTTGCCAGCATTTTTTTACTTGTATATAATATTTCCGAATATCCCTTTTACCCGTTTTTATCCACCTCAATGTTAAATATTTCGTTTAACTAAAGTCGTGTTTTGAAGCGGAGCATGCGCATTAAAATTTCCTCAGTTCCGATGACCCATTAAACTTAAACTTTTTAAGACGGATTGCATTTAATCTGTGACGGTATGTTAACATTTGAATCATATTTAGAAATACTTTATCGTTGATTACATAGACATCCATAACCAGCTTCGTTAAATATATGCGCGAAAATGTCCGATCGGGCTAAAGATGTAAAAATCGGGTACGTTACGATACCGAAATCAACTTGATTTCGGTAAAGTTACCGAAATCAACTTTTCATTACCGAAATCAACTCGTAAAAACCAACCTAGTTAAAATATTGCTATTATTTCTTCATTATTTGATGAAAAATAGTAAAATAGACTTTCAGTTAAAAAATATATTGAAAATATTTTATTTTAATGGTGTTATTAACAAAAATGTAATTATTGAGTTACTTCCTTTTGTTCTAAACAACCCGTTATATGTGTTTAGCATTACCGAAATCAACTCGTAAAAACCAACCTGGTTAAAATATTGCTATTATTTCTTCATTATTTAAAGAAAAATAGTAAAATAGACTTTCAGTTAAAAAGTCTATTGAAAATAATTTAATTTAATGATGTTATTAACAAAAATGTAATTATTGAGTTACTTCCCTTTGTTCTAAGGAAGTGGCTAGCCGTACGGGCCCGTACGGCTAGCCAATAGTTCTAGCCGTACGTGAGTCACGTACGACTAGCCAGGACACACTGTATTGGCTAGCCGTACGGCACTTTTCAAAATTATATGGAAGTCGAACATGCATATGTTATTTTATGCCTCATGATTATGGTTTGTTGTTTTATTTGTATGAAAGGTGAACTTTTGTTAATTAAGCACAATCATGGATCGAATAAATAATGATCGGAGTGGATAAAAAGAACATTGAAAAAAAAACAAACAAAAAAAACAAAAAAAAACGGTGAAATGCAAAATATATTCTAATTGTATAATTTTCAAATACAGTAGATAAATATCGAACATTAAAGCACAATCAATTAATTAGCCTTAATTAAAGCTACCCAGGGACTGACAATAGAATTTTAAAATGAGTTTCACGAAACATGCAAACTTTCCTTATGTTAAAAAACTTCTATACCGTCGGTACTTCCGCAATTTCAGAGCCCAACAACAATAATTTTCGTTTTTTAACCAGGTTTTCAATTTTGAAAATCCTGGTTATTAGATTGGGGTATGGCGGGCGGATGGGCGGATGGGCAGATGGGCGGATGGGCGGATGGGCGGGCGTCAAACGAAATTGTGTCCGCTCTGTAACTCTTCAACCCTTTGAAGAATTTTGATGAAACTTCAGACAAATGTTTACCACATCAAGATGACGTGCAGAACGCATGTTCCGCATGGCTGGCTCCAAGGTCAAGGTCACAGTGACATTAACATTGAAAATCCTGTCCGCTCTGTAACTCTTCAACCCTTTGAAGAATTTTGATGAAACTTCAGACAAATGTTTACCACATCAAGATGACGTGCAGAACGCATGTTCCGCATGGCTGGCTCCAAGGTCAAGGTCACAGTGACATTAACATTGAAAATCCTGTCCGCTCTGTAACGTTAACATTGAAAATCCTGTCCGCTCTGTAACTCTTCAACCCTTTGAAGAATTTTGATGAAACTTCAGACAAATGTTAACCACATCAAGATGACGTGCAGAACGCATGTTCCGCATGGCTGGCTCCAAGGTCAAGGTCACAGTGACATTAACATTGAAAATCCTGTCCGCTCTGTAACTCTTCAACCCTTTGAAGAATTTTGATGAAACTTCAGACAAATGTTTACCACATCAAGATGACGTGCAGAACGCATGTTCCGCATGGCTGGCTCCAAGGTCAAGGTCACAGTGACATTAACATTGAAAATCCTGTCCGCTCTGTAACTCTTCAACCCTTTGAAGAATTTTGATGAAACTTCAGACAAATGTTTACCACATCAAGATGACGTGCAGAACGCATGTTCCGCATGGCTGGCTCCAAGGTCAAGGTCACAGTGACATTAACATTGAAAATCCTGTTTACATGATTTTAACTTGATTTGGCAGTCAAAGGTCATATCATCTTTGGAGGTAATTTAAAAAAGATATGATATATTATTTCATGTCTACTTTGTCACTTGTTTTTCATTATACAGAATTATCAATATAATTATAGTGAACAAATTCTTCTGTGCTGAACTCGTCCTACATTTCTCAACGGATTTTGTTCAAACTTTCACAGAAGCTTTGTCATCAAGCACCCTGGCACATATTGTTGGGGTTTTGTGATTGGATAGTTTTTGACCTAATTATGGCCCTTTGTTTTTTTCCTTATACATAATATTATAGTGAACACTTCTTCAGTGGCAATTCCTCCTACATTATTCATGTTTTACATTGCACATAGTTACATTGTTTGTTGCTTGTATTTGTATTTCAAATACAACATATTTATCTACAATGGTGATAATTGAAAACCTGGTTTCATGGCATTGCCATGTTTCTTGTTTGTTTCATTTTAAAGGTGTCGAAAATTAAACTTGATGAAACAAAAAAGGATTATCAAAATTTGTAAACTATTTCAATTGATGTTATTTAACTGCGACCAAATGCGTATTTTTTCTCAACGTCTTGAGATGACAAAGATCGATATTCGTTCTTTTTTTACTGTAGCCAACAAGTCGATTAATCTCTACAAAGTAAACATACGAAGACAATTGCTGTTTCTTGGTTCATAAAATAACATATGCATTTTCGACTTCCATATAATTTTGAAAATGCCGTACGGCTAGCCAATACAGTGTGTCCTGGCTAGTCGTACGTGACTCACGTACGGCTAGAACTATTGGCTAGCCGTACGGGCCCGTACGGCTAGCCACTTCCTTGTTCTAAACAACCCGTTATGTGTTTAGCATTACCGAAATCAACTCGTAAAAACCAACCTAGTTAAAAGATTGCTATTATTTCTTCATTATTTGATGAAAAATAGTGAAATAGACTTTCTTAAAAAATCTTTTTGAAAATTTTTTATTTAAAATATTTATTAAAAAAAAATTTAATTTTTGATTCTACCCTTTGTGTTTATTAGGGGGTAACAATACAGCAAAAACCGTTTTCAATATATTGCCTTTTTTGCTAAGCGTTTTCAATATATTGCAATACGTTTCTTATATGTTTTATTTAAGATGTAGAACTTTCATTTTTAATTGTTATATGAAAATTATTAATATTTATAAAACTTAAAAAAATTTAAGAATAAATAGAAAGTAAAGGTCACACAATTTTATAAAAAAAAACTATCGCTTTGACCACAATCGGGGCCCTTATTAAATTTTTTGGCCGCTTTTTATTTTTTAAGTGTACTATTGTCGATACTTTTATCACTTCCCCCAAAAAATTTTGCAAAAAAAATTTTTATGTAAATTTGTACAAAATTAAAGGCTTTTAATTGAAAATTATGAGTTTTATAAAATACCGGTTTTCCAAAAATCATACCGCGGTACGAAATTTATTTTTTCATATTGCAATATATCGGTATATTCCGGTAAACCGTTACACCCTTAGTGTTTAGCATTACCGAAATCAGCGGTGAAGTTTAAATTATGTATATAATTAGTAGATAGTAGATTAGATAACTCTAGTAGAGCTCTATTTTATAAACATATTTCTGTTTTTAAGTTTCAACCATATCTAAATATTATCAATGTTGAACGGTTTTGTAAAGATCTCACTACGTTAAGAGTATCATCTCATAGATTGCACATAGACTCAGGTAGATGAACTAAACCAAAAAGGACACCTTTAAATGATAGAAAATGTTTTTCATGTAATGTCTTAGAAGACTAGTACCATTTCATATTAGAATGCAATGTATATAATGATTTAAGAAAAAGTCTGATACCGCCCATATTAGCATGTTATATATCTGCACGTGATTGTCGTGCAGAACAATTTTCTAAATAAAATCGTATTTTTAAAAAGCTATGATCGGACTATGATGGAAAAATAAAATATTCTGTAATATGAGTTAAAGATAATTATAAATTTTGTACATGTTTATGTTTTATGAAGAAAAAATATCCTACTTCAATCGGAAGTTTATGATTTTCTATTATAAATTTGAATACAGATATATAATTCGACTGCTCTAAAAATGTTCCATAAAAATTGTATGATGTATCAGGCAGTAAAATTGGAAATTTGAAAGTTTGTGTCTTTCTTTTATTGAACAGTTTAACTATATATTAACAAATCACTAACATATGTTATGGGGACTCTTTATTATAATATTTTTATATTTTAGTCATTTACTTAAATGTTTAATACGAAATAAACAGATGGTTCATTATAATCTACATACAATATATAAACATAACATAACATAACATAATATATGTCAACTGTACCTCCTGTCTTAATTACTTCACACCTTACTTAATACAGTAATACACAGCATGTCATATCGTACAAGTTACAACATTTCATAATTGAAATTTGTCAGTAAAAAGTGTTCCTTTTTTTTCATCATATAAATATATACCAGTCATTCCATAAATTTATGCTGTTTACAGATATGAAATTTAAAATGGTTTTAAATCGATCAACATAAAATCATGACTTAACACTTTTTCAATAAGTACAATATGTAGTTAAGTATCCGGACATCAAAAATTGCATACATTTTTGGAACAACTGATATGCAATTTGGTAATAATAATATCAAAGCACCTTGTCTCATATACCGGAAATGTTTTCTACGGCCACCCCTACAAATTAGTTAAAACCGGTCTTTTGACAATTTATTTAATATAAAATTATATTTTTACCAGCTTACTACATCTGAAATATGTATAATATAGAACTATAAAAAAAAGTCTTTTGATATATATTATATAGGGATGGTCGCTATACGTCATTTTATATTAAACTGTAATGTGTTTTTTTGTCTTAATGGAGACAAGCAGCTTTATTTTCATGCAAAATAATTATGTCTAATTATGTTGTTTGGATACTTTAAAGTTTCCATGCGCCGATGTATATATTAAAGGATTGCGGTTAACGAGTATGTTAATTATGTCAACTAACACCTCCA